CGAGAGTACGCTCCGGAATAGATATGATATGTCATTATTGATGTCGTTCTCCGATGGTACAAACCTTCACCGCGTACAGAGTCTTTCGGAGCTTGCATACTTATTTCCGACGACCTACTATTCACTCCAAGATCGGTAGTCATGGAAGACTACATATGTATGCAACAACTAACTACACACTCTGATGAGCGGGGCCTTGTCCCTTGTTGCACAGTATCACGAGTGCAACATGTTGGCCACGACATTTACTCCCAACCACATAGCTTTCATTTTTTGCACCGCGCAGCTTCGTTCTATTCTTGCGTCTCCAGTATGATCTCATTCTTGGACTCTGTCTAAGCCTTGAAGGGGATCATTCGGCCGTATCTTCGGATTCGCCTGGTGTCCGCCGGTCTGCGAGACGGATATCCGATGTTTGCTCTATGCCAAGGAGCGAGCGTCCCTCTCAGCTTACTTAAACCCGCCTATCGGGCCGCTCCGCAACATGCAAGCGACTTGGACACCAGAATGTCGGCCTAGACTAATTGGGTGGCACAGGTACCACCCTCTCGGCCGTCAAAGTCTTGACGTTGATCATGTCACACTACTTCCAAATGAGAGACGAACCTATTACGAACATAGAGGAAACAACGAGATTGTTGACCACTGATGTATCAAGGTAGTGGCAACGGTAGCCGCTGTCCGGTCTGAGAATAGCAAACATTTGATGTTAGAGCCAACAATACTGGGTCTTCACGGAATGGCTCGGCATGATTCCGGAGGACCGTTCAACATCGTGAGATCGAGTCTATCGAAAACGTGTTAATAGGCGTCAACCGTTAAGTCATCATAGACTAAACATGGTGTCAACTTTAATCTATTTTGCAACGTGTACCAGAGGAGGCATCCAGTCGTTTCATCAGTACAGCTGGCTCACTGGTGACTTCATACCATCGCCTCAAGGCCCGAGGCAGGCTTCGAGGCGCCTCGTGCCGAGAATGAAGTAGTTCCTGCGTTCTCGTCATCTACCCGGTCAGCGGATGTAGTCTTCTCTTCCGGCCTGCATGATCCATCGTCTCTGGTCCCAGACTAGTCTCCGTAGGGTAGCTATTGGAGCTCGCGAGGAGTAAATAATGAGTGGTCTTCGCCCCCACCACCACCACCACTCTACGTTGAACCTAGTTCATCCTCGCGAACACGCATCTCGATACTTGCATGCCACCAATATGGCAGCAACACACGCACAGTGTGGCATGTACCCAGGCTTCTCAACGTCCTTCAGCAAGGCCCTTTGCGTCCATATGCAGATCGGTTTTCGAATAGACATGATAGAACGTGTTGCAGCCGATACCTTGAGACTCTTAGATTAAATGTATATAAGATCGAGCGAAGTCACCGGAGGATGACCAACGAGTTCCTCATCCTATTCACCTTTACCTACATCGTATGCTTCGCTCGGATCACGACTCTTTAGATCGCACTCCTCAAGCTTTCACGGGTCTCGCAAGATTACGCTTTGTTCGAATACTCTCCGCCGAAGGGCAGTCCTTGAAACGGATCTAGACGGCCAAACTGTACGTATCTGAACGTTCGCTTGTAACTATAACGTTTTCAAGGAGCTGATCTAAGGTCCCAGCTACTACTGTAAGCCATTTATCTTCAAACGAGCGCAGCGTAATATCCCACCAACACCCCCATTCCAAGATGTGCGATTGGGAGGAGTTCCTTTTCACCTGCAACCACTCCGTTCTACGGCTCAAGTCGTATTGCCACTTTGCCCGCAACGACCCCGGCCACCAATGCTTCGGCGTCAAAGTTCTTCGCAACTCGTGGCAGCAGAGCGTCCCGTGCGATAATTGCATCTTGGCCTGGCAGGATCAGGGGCACCCGCATTTCGCCGCCGGGCAACACCGTCAGGAAGAGTTCATTGGTTGCCAGCAACAACGTCGTCGTTGAATCGGGTCTGGTCACGTCCAATCTTTTGAAAGTATTCTTGCAAACCAGGGGGGATACTCTCAAGTTCTGTCGTATTGGAGAGTGGCATGGGATTTGTTCATTGGGTTCAGTGCGAATACCATGGAGACGGAGCCTTCCTTCATATGCAGGCCAGATTATTTACATAGCACCTGTGATTTTTGGGAACGATTCACCAATTACAGATCGCAAGGGTTTCTGCCTGGAACAGAATGTCAGTCAAACTTGGTTTGCGGTGGAAATGGTAGAACAAAATTGCTGGTGGCCATGCTCTGTATAGTTGTCCTCTTTTCTCATTTTCCTACTGGTAGAATGGTTGGATGGCAGCGGTTACCTGTTTTAGCAGGATGATGAGCAGCCCAAGAAGCTGTGGCACATGAAACTCGATTTTCCGTAGGAACAAAATCAATCCCACACGGGCTTATGCATGTTAAGACGTTGGCACGAAGTGACGTTGGGAATGGCATCGGTCCGATGTTTCCGGGCTGTGTTTACTCCGGCATCCCTAGAATTAGACACCAAGCCTCACTCAGGCGCGATTCTGCAAGCATATCTTACACATGGTTCAGGAGGAGATAAATTACTTGTTGACGTTTCTGACCATAAAGTGAAGTATGAAACGAAGAGAAGATGCTATACCTCATAGTGAGGCTGTCACTTTACGCATTTTGTTGAAGCCTCACCTCCCGTCAAGATTTGTAGCCCATGACGATTAACCTCCTAATTACGCTACAGAGTTTGCTTTCTAGCTAGGAATGACTAAATCAATTTCCAAAGATCCAGTGCTATAGTTTAAAGCCCCTTAATTCAAGAGCTACATGAGGTAACTCACCGAGCTTCCGGACTTACGTCGCTCGTTCAAGGTCTCTTATGGAGAGGAGAAAGATACATGCTCCATGTCGTGAAGAATTATACCACCCATTTATACTCGCCTTGGGACAATGAGTTTTCAGGTCCCGAGCCATACGGTGTCGGGCTCAGATAGAGGGGGTAAGCATGGCAGACAAGTACTTCTGCACGGTGTGTCGTACAACGGGTCAACAGAGATTAAGCTGCCCCTATGAAACGGAAATCGGGACGCCGTTAACACGATCACTTTTCTGCAGGACGAGTCACAGGAAAGGGGACCATGAGCTGAAATGCAGGATAATGTTAATGGCTGGGAGCCTGCAGTAACTCCAGGACACGTCATTTGTCACTTTGCTCAATGACTACTTTACTGGATCATCTTTGCTCACCCACGTGTTCTCGTAGGCAATATAAACTGGTGCCCGAAACATAGCTGTTTCTTGAGTCGAAGAAAGTATTTCTCGTGAGCGATAGGGCGTTGACGCCGATCGTCGATGGAGGGGATCCACGCCCAGGACCGCGCCGCGAAGTCGTGCAAGAACGGTGGCAACGCATGTGAACGACGTACGCAGTACACAGCTCTACACAAGTGGATGGATGGATTGGAAGTTTTCATCGCACACTTCCTTGAGGATCATGCAGCTTTACATCGGAGCCTTGTGGAGTGCGATGAAAGCTCAGAGCGAGGTGACATTGACACACATTTTCTGCTGTAGATGAGTTGGAGATCGATGAGTGCTGAGAGATACTGAACACGAAGGTGCCCGGAGTCGCCGAAGACGTCCTCTCACATTTCGGTGTGGGGGACCATTGGCGCAAGATGCTCTCAGTTTTTATTTTACGTTTACACTCGCTCATGGCAACGTCTCACGCCCAAATGACGGATATCTTTGGCCTCCCTCGTCTCTCCAACATCTTGTTTCACCCTACGCTCCGACTTCACAGCCGAGCTTTTGGTAACCTTCATTCAAAGTTGGTAGCGCCGTCGACGCGACCAACAACATTGTAGCGCTTGGAAAAGAAGGTGATCCAGTCGTTGAGGACACCCTTCTCTTTGTCAGGAAGATCCTGCCAGTCGGCACTGACATCCTCGGCCTTTGTTGAGGTCTTTCCGAGAGCACGGGAGGCGTCCTTTCCAGCGAAAACTATGTAGTTATCAGTCATGATAGCGTTGGGACCAAGATGAATATTTTCCTTACCATTGTAGGATCCTCCTGCTTGGTATGCCTTGTTACCCGTTACATCGTACACGATACCCTGTATCATTAAATATTAGATGAGTTCAAAAGTGCGTACCGGGAATGCTTTATTACCTTGATTGCAACATATGTTTTCCCATTGGGGTCGGAGCCTATGATATTGTTAGGATTGTCAAAGTGGTTTCTGAATGACGGCAAGACAATTGCGTGTGAGGCTGAGAACATCCGGGCACCTTTGCAACCACTTGATGAAAGGAAGGCAGGAGCCGCAGTCATTTTCATGTGCAAAACTTGTGTTTATGAACCTCGGATAAGGGAAGGTATCTCAAGAACCTTGGTCTCGCTCTCTTCAATATATAACACGACTCCTCGTGACTCTTGCGCTAGGAGATGCTACCAGAGAGCCTCGAAACGGGTCAGTGAAGGCAAGTACATATCGACTTACCATCGGCCTTGGCCAACTCCTCGAGGGTGATGGGGTCATCCTTGGGAGGGGCCAGGGTGACGGGGTTCTTGGGCTCAAACTTTCCAGACATTTTGCTGGTCTTTGCTTGAATGTGAGTTGCTGTGGAGCTTCGATTATATTGCGTTGGCGTTTTGATATTAAAGATGAAATGTGAGGGTCAGGAAGACGTCGAGTTCTTACACAAAATAGTTGATGGCGGGAGAAAGAAGTTCGGTATTTGCCCCTCTGAGGCCGGAGCTCTTCCCCACGATCAAGGTGGGGGGTGCACTTGCGACATTGCTGGCTGAGCCTCGGAGTAACTGCGTTCGTTTGATTGGTCGCGCATTGATGAGCGTTGACCCACTAGAGCAAGAGCTCCAGACCTGCCGGATAATGCAGGCGAAACTTCCCATTGATTTTTGATCGATACGTCACTTGACAACCATCCGAATACAGTCAACCACCACGCTCCGACCCACGAAATTAGCCTATTCGCACAACTTGACCGAGCTTCGGAATCTGTTCTCGCATCCTCTTCTCCATTGATGACAACGATGGCTGTGTCGCGCATTGCGGCATGTCGGGGAATCAACGGCCTGGGGCTTCGCCAGGTCGCCAGGTCGCCCGCAACGTCCACAGCAGCGTTACGGGCAAGCACATCTCACAGTGCCTCAAATCTGTGCCTATATACCCAATTGAGAAACCAGAGCACTTCGAACACTTCGTATAACGGGACCAAGAAGAGAAACTCCTCCACTCCGCCGCCGCCGCCACCACCGCCGCCTTCCGCAAGTCAGCTCTGGAGGGCAATATCCTTTCGCTCAGTTTTGACTTCCATGACACCGAGGGGTATTAAGAGGATGTTCAGAGAAAGTCCAGAAGAGCTTGTTCTGGCACTAGCAATGTGAGATATCTGAAGCTGTCGCCGTCTGTGAGTTACGTAGCTGATCCGAAGTTTTTAGTCTTGCTGGCTTGGCGGGCGTTTCCATCTACATCGTGAAGTTGTACTTCGACTACTTCATGGCCCGTCAGTTCACGAAGTATCCCAAGCCCATCGCCAAGTCTCTTCGCCGAGCGCTTTACTACACAAACATTAGCCCCGACCCCAACCTTGCGAGAAAATATTACAAGCAAGCACTAGAGCAGTGCAATGAGCTTCAGCTAGACCCGTTCTCGGATGATGTCTTGGGCATCAGGATTCAGACCGCGGCCTGGCTCGAAAAGATTGAAAATTACCAGGGAGCCATAACTGTTTTGGATTCCGTTCTCAAAGACTGCCTCAAGTGGGTAGAGTGGATGGAAAACTCCCTTGCAGATGGAACAGTGGACAAGTCTGGCAAGCCGCCTGCCGTGAAGTCTCTGCCGGATAATCAACGACTAGCAGTGGCGGAGAATGGTGAAGAGAAGGTTGTCGAAAACTTGTGGCGCAAGCGCACTCGTCTGTTGGCTAAAGCCGTCGGGACCAGCACTAAGCTTGGTGCCCTCTATTCGGACGAACATGTTCTGGAGCCAGAAAATGCTCTGGCTCGTCTGACGTGGGCTGTCGAGACAGCACTGACAGAGTCAAGACGACGCCACAAGGAAGGTATCAAGAAAGATGAAGGTCCCTGGATGAGCCCAGAGGAAATTGGCGGTGCCATGGAGTGTAAGTTCCCCCTTACACGCTCTATATTGTGCCTGCTTCCAAGTCACTGACAGAGTCCAATAGCCCTCGCCCAACACTACGAGACCAAATCTCAATTTCACCTGGCAGTGCCTCTCTTGTTCCAGGCATTGCGACTTTGTGCTAGCCCGTGTCACCGAGTAACTATTAGTATGTTCCTAGACTCCTAGAAGTGTACTTTAAACCCATACTAACGCATTCTCCAGTGAATAATCTGGCTGCGGCATTTGCCCAGCATCCTCTCCAAACCCCACTGGACGCCATTCCTAACGCGCCTGCAACTTCCGACGTAATAGTCAGTCCCGACATGCCGACAGACCGAGCCGGACTCTTGGAGGCTGCGAAGAACTGGGCTAGCATTGCTTACTCACACTCGAAGGAAGTCAAAGGAGAGGGTCGAACCGAAGAGTGTGACGAAGCTTGCGCTGTAGCATTGACGAACATGGGTGACATCGCTGCCCTACTGGGGAAGAAGAAGGACGCAAGGAAGCGTTTTGAGCAGGCAATCGACATGAGCAGGAAGATTGGCTTCGGTCCCGGCATCTCTCAAGCCGAGGCGGGACTCCAAAGACTCTAGGACGATGGAGATGCGGCCATTCGAACTGCTGGACTGCCGTAGGGATGTCATCCTCGTCTCGCTTGTGGTATTACTGGGGTATGCCGGGGCATCAGGATCCCATTTCTGACGGCATATTAGCATATCGAAAAGTCATGAGAGAGAACGATGGTCTCCTCCTCTTGCGCCCGCAAAGACCCTGCATAGGGCTAGGACTTGGCCAACAGAGACTTGAAGTCGCTTCTGCTGCATCCTTCCATCGACATGGACCTTTTTCAAATCGTTCAGCATGGGTCCGCAGAGATGGACCGAAAATAGGTAGACGATGGGTTCTTGCTGCCTGCCCACGCCGTATCAAAGGATTCGTGACTGGGGCGCGTATGCAGACGAAGAAATACCACGACGGTAGCCGTGTGCCACGAGACCACGACTAGGTCGGATTCAGTAGCATCGTTGCATCCGGCGCAGAAAGTCTCGACTGTATTAATTGTTAGAGCCACCGCCAATTTGGAAAGATGGCAGACGAAGCGAGTTGCTTGGAAGCCAGCAACGGACCCAATAAAGCTCGATCCAGTACTAGGAACCCCATTTATACCAATAGTATCATAAGTGCAGACGACAAAAACTGACCCAACCCGTTAAACGAGTACTCATTCTGTATCAGGGAGCCGCGCGAGGCCCAAGAAACGGAAGCCATCACATTCCCACACGGTCTCCCAGTCGGCCTCTTCTATTCTGTTAGATGACATTTTGATCGAACACCGGAATGCTGTGAACGACTAAGCACTTCTTAGGCCATGATCCTGCTGGTCCGAGAGAACTCAGCGTCGAACCTTTGCCCAGAAAGCCATATGGGGCCAAAAGATGCTGTCACCAATCACATGGACGAATGACAACGGCTTGGCGTACCGGCGGACGCAGCTGCATGGGTCCAGTGCCCCCTGCATGTTCATCCCAGCAACTCCAGTGCTGGGGCATACAAAAATTACCCTTTTCGGAAAATAGTTGGGCTTAGGTGGAAAGAGACGGTCTTCATGGACGAAGAAAACGCTGCCAGCGGCCAGCCACATACAACCAGTTCAACAGCCTGGACACCGCTTGGGGGAATCTGAGACTAACCGGCAAAGATTCCTTCTGCCTAATCTATAGAAGGAAACTGTTATGCGGCCTGCCCCCACAGACCTCGAGACAAATCGGCGCCAAATTAAAAGTCTCGACGCAAAACGGTGCTCGTTACGCCACCGTCCACGCTGCCATGCAGTAGAGCAAAGATGCGGTAATACCACATCATGCCAACTCTTTGATGTCACATCCTAAAAACTTGGGCATGGACAGAGTACAACGTATGCAAAATTGTGAGCGTTGGTTAAAGAGGACGGTGTTGGCACAAATCGCATTATTTATCGACTTTTGGAACACTAACACTTTGTGCTGCCCATACGACAGTAAATACAGACGCCCAAGGTCTCAAAGTCATCTAAAGGAAGCAGATATCAGTTCTCCTTCAAGAAAAGAAGCCAGTGCCACGTATAACTTTACTGGTGTGGTCGCAACTGCTAGTGTTGTCCTTCAGATTCAATAAGATAGGACCTGGTCGCCAACAACGAGCAATGAGATTTAGGACAGAACCTTGTTCAGCGTCGCGGGCTTCTCTGTCATCTCATGGTCCTCGCTTCTTAGGCCAGGCACGTCACAATGGCCAAATGCCCGCCGGCACAAAGTGGGCAGCTCTCTCCAGCTTGCGGCATTTCGGGATTTCATGCCGGCATCCGTCAACCTGCGATCTTTGAGACGCAGCCCTTATCTTTGAGGTGGAATCCATCCCGCGGTATTCGAGTCGCACTTTTTTCTTACCCTCCTTGCCAGGCACTCTCGTGGCACGTGGCTTGTGCACGCCATGAAGAGCGAGGGCTTCGATCATGTACCTGGATTTGAAGGTGATTGTGGTCTTCGCCCTACGTGTGGTCCAAGGACGGAACATATTCCATCAAGTCAATCGAGTCCCTTGCTTTGTGAATATGATGCGTTAGAGCTAGCCAAATATTAGTCAGCTCTTGACGTGGCAGGCGATTACAATTGATGAGCAGAAGTGTACCTAAGGGAACTGGCCTTTGATATCGCCTGAGAGCCCACTTCTGCTACAGCCGGTACACATATCACAGAATTGACGGAATTTAGGCCCGTTGTTTCATACGGAATTCCGCTCAGCTAGTGTTTACCTCATCGTGTTGGAGACTAACTCATAAGTTGCGGGCGAACACCGAGTCGCGAGACCACGAAACCTCTTTCGAAAGCTTCGTTCTGCTTCTCGCCCTGGGTCAGTAGCAGATTGCTGCGGGAATTGTATACCAAGGCCCATGTTCAACTTCGTGGTCTTTTGCTCAGGTATCCGTAAGCTACTTAGCTTTGTCACATAGGTGGGCCGGCAGCTTTTAAAATAGACTTGACTCGGCCGAGCTCTAGCCTCATCCGTCCGTCATCAATCCAGCTCTACGGATTGAGTCTCAGTATCTCAAGCAAGGATTAGTCTATCCTGAGTCGAGACCGAACAAACCAATCTACGGGTATCGTCAGTCACCAATACACACGATCCATAACCCACCATGGAGACAACAGAAACCTGGAGTTTTCGAGTCAGCCTTCTTCGCACTATGGGGGCTACAATCTGTTCGAACGCCCTGACAACGCCTGAATCCCCTGTAAGTATGGTTCCACGGGATATGGGGACGCGGGTAACGCTAACGGCTGCAGCATGACAAAACACAGCTGGGCATGTGATTGGCATGTTCGTACAGGCGTGGAGGACTAGGGTTCAAAAATACACCAAGAATAATACAGCCATGCATCAGAACCCCGCCATTTCCGCTGAACTCGGGAGCGGAGAATGGGGTCGAGGAGACTTCAACAGGGACAACATATGGCTGCCTGATCTCGAGAATAGCGACCAGCCCATGGCGAAACCTATCCCTCAAATCTCGCAGAAATCATGCCACGAACGGCAAACTATTGGCATCCTCCCGTTGCCGTAATTGTCACAATGGCCTGCTATTCCCGGCTGTGATGCGGACTTCAAGCAAAGGTGTGGAGTTCCACCCGGGGGCACGGGCTGCGAGCGGCAGGATTCGGATCCGGGGAGGACAGGAACGCTGATCTTCGGCCGCCTCACCTTAAGGTTATTTGGAGGTGGCGGCGATGAGATTGACACCACGAGGTCATTACACGACTTGCGAGAAGCGACAGATCAGATCATGCTACAGAAAAGAAAGGGCGCGGCGTCTACCGACTCATTCAAGCCTCGTCTTTTTATCTCGCGAGCACAGAATACTAGGGCTGGGATAACGGTGATGAGCTGTTGGAAACGGCACATCAAGTCAAAAGCAGCTGTCTTCGAGGGAACGCCGGCACAACGTTGTAACCGGAGAACAACGCCCGCTAGTGCGGCGGAATTCCACTACAGAGGTCGCATGTTGTTCCGTTGAACGCCAATGGGCATGCTCATTGTTCATTCTCGGTATCCGACTTTCCTTACATCTTGGGCAATAGGTTCTTCAAAGGAACGAGGAAACTTTTTCCTTATTTTCAATGAGTCAAATCGCTTACTCGATACGATGCAAAACACCCAAGCCTCAAACGATTGAGTTGTGGCTGTGGTGGGGGCGATCCAAGCCTGTCTGCAATATCCCAAATACATCTGACAGACTAACAGGGCCACCGCTTATCAGATGGAGATCCGTGCAATGCACCGATGCTGCAAGAGCAAGGAACAACAAGGTCTCCAACCGTCGGTCCTTGCGAATTTCTTTAGACATGGATGGATGAGAAGACACCAAGTTCCCATGTGTTCCAATATGCCAATGTTGCAGAATCAGACCCCACGGCGTAGACCAACACCATCTATCTTGCGGATACTTGTCCATGATATGCACCCCCGGATTGAGAGGCCACTCTCGTAAGATTTGGGGAAAATTGGAGAATACGACAAATCCCATGTTACTTTCGCACCCTCTTTCTCTCTTTTCCTCGCATATTGTTCCACACCACTCACTCTATTGAGCATCCTGGCTAACTGAATGCGCCGTAAACCGAAGCACAACATCGCAATACCGACACAAGGTTCCTCGATACATATCGGTCAACTATGCCGTCTATCAAGAAGGAATGGGAGACGGGAGGGGATTGGCCATTCCGACGGAAATTAGGTTGGGAAGTGCGTATGGCATCCCACCAGTATCTCTCTTATGTCCTAGTGTAGGATCTCTAGCTGCCTCGCCCTAGCTCCGGCCGACGACCGAGTTAAAGTCTATCCAGCAGACGTCCAACCACCATCGACAGCTGACAGGCCCGTCACAACAGTTTTGACGTAAGGTGTCCGTTTGTTCGCAAGCAAGACTCGTGGAGGCTTCTATTGTTGGCACTGCGGAGTACCTTAGCTTTGGGTCCTGGGACCGGGCCAGCCTGGCAAGGCAACGATCCCCTGCGAAAGCTGCACTTACACGGTGAATGTGCCGCCATCCTGCATATCATTAATCGAAGGTGTGGTTCGTAACAAATTGCATACGGAAAGAACAGCAAACGCAGGCAGCCTCTTTTGGGCTTGCGTAGCATTGGCCACTCTTACCCAAGTTCGTGGGATTCGGAAGCATGCGAAGACTGTGCAACGTAGTCATCACTTTCGTCATATCGCTTTGGCACTGCTTCTTGCTGGAAGCCGACAACAACCCGCAGCCCCGAATCTGCGCCGGTTGTGACTGAGACGAACGCCCACAAGGACCTTTGTCATTGGCAAGGGGGCAAGTCGAAGCGTGTAACAGCCGCCACCATCAAGCAACTTTACATGTCATCAACCAAACATAACACCGCTCCATCCAATCTCGGAGTATGTCGTCCTGTCCTTCGCCCCAGCAGGCGACCCAATAAGGGAATTTGACGCACTGGGCATCTCATCTTCGAGATCCCCCCGAGAACGGCGAAAGAACGGCATGCATCAAGCTGCTGCCGCGTTATGCATACGCCCTTACTGTGCTGCCCCCACAGCTCAGTTCCAAATTGGGCTCCGCCCTTCTAGAGCGAGAAGTCTATCCAGAATAAAGCTTTGCTGCTGGGAAGCGGATCCCAAAAGGCGGGATTGCGACTCCTACGCTCGGCAGCAGCCCCCCCGGCTTACCACACCCCTCCCCTCCCTCCTCGGTCTTGGGCGACGTCGACAAATTCAGAGACTGCTTTGTGGTTCCAGCGACAGCCACGACTTGCACCTTCTGCATGCTGGATGGATTGGTTAACTCAGTAAGCTATGGATGAGACTGTAGAGAAGAATTCCAGACCGTTGGCCATGCAGCGTTGCCGTTGACTCGCAGCGAGCATGATTCTTTGGCACCGAAGAAGCGAGTCTAAGACAACTTTGGTGTCATCTACACCGAAGAGGAGACCGAAGAGGCGAGACCACAAATGTTTGCCTTTCCCAAATTTCTAACTTCTTCTCGTTGAAGCTAGGATCATGAAGATTCTAGCAGACCAGACGAAGAGGCTAGATCTGGCTGCGGCGATGCTTTCGTAAACCTGTCGTCTGAATTTTCGACTCGTCAGAATGAGAACCTGAACACGCAGAGTTATCCCAACTGGCCTACACACGGCGTCGTGGTCGAGAAGGCTCAGTATCATGCAACGGCGGCAGAGCCAAGGCTTAACGGCACCGCGTCGGCTTACTCGACCCCTCACCTCCGTCTTTGCGCACCGTCTCCCGTCCTGCCCCGTCAACCCGTTCGAATCTGGCTCCGTCTTGCTGGGGCCCCTCGCAACATCGCAGCCCGTTCGAAGCGGGTCCATGACAGATGCAAAAGAGACAGCAGCGGTCTCCATTCCCATCCCTGCCCGCACCACCATCATCCCTCCACCCGGTTCAAGCTCTTCGACCAGGCCCAGATGGCGGCGGCGGCGATTCTTCTTTCGCTCTTGGCTTCCCCATCACGCTAACCAGAACACCACACCAGGGACCAGGAACAAGGAGGGTGCGAGAGGGACTGCTATGCACCTAAGCAGCCCACGAGCTGGTGCGCTATCTGGGGGTCCAATCGACGACCCTGGCCTCCATTGGATTGTTGCGTTGCCGGTGTGTACGTTGTGGTCCTGGCAATGTCTGTCGAAATTTTGCTTACCTACGTACTTACGAACCAGAGGATACTGCTTTACACATGAGCATGTAGCTTCTGCCCTACTAACTAGTTTCCCCGAGTTCTGCTTGACGTACCGGCACCCTGTCCGGGACCTAGCTTTGTGTGGTGCGTCTCTTCTCGCATGCGTCGCGCCATATATATTTCCTCTCAGCCCGGTTGCAAAGCATCATTGTGTAGCTTAGTTCGCATTACACATCTCCTTCCGGACACACCTTTCCAGACGACGCGTTGCCCATCTACTTCCTCGTATATATCATCCCATTCTTCGCCCAGACTTGACAGCCCGTGGACCTCCAGACCAAATCGAATCAACCCGTTTACCACCTCATTCAACATATAACTTCCATGCCTCGCCCCACTGCCACTCAATCATTACACATGGATCACTCACTGCCACTCAACATATACGACGACATGGACGCCTTCTTAGATATGGAAGCACCATACGTCTATGACGAGACAGAGCAGTACCTGGACACTGCCAGTTCATCTGAGTCCACGAGCCCCATCATATCAACTGTGAGTCGTGACGCTTCCGTCGCAAGAAAGGAGTGTAAATTGACCAATGTGTTACCAAAGTTTGACATGACCTTTGTAAACGACTTCAATGGCACCGACCAAAGCATTTACCCAAGCCCAATGAGCTCCACCCGCGATACAGCATCACCTCAGCCTACCATGGACGAGAAAACTGGCACAACCAAGGGCCCGGCTAAGAGAAAGCGTGAAAACCGCTACAAGAATGCGCCCCCTTCGGTGCTCTCAGTAAGTTTCAGACCTGACGTCAACCCAGTATCTGCGCCGCCAGCACCAAACACATAAAATCAGACCACGGTAGAAGACTAACACAATCATCCAATAGCGTCGCCGAGCCCAAAACAGAGCCTCACAAAGAGCATACCGCGAGCGCAAAGATCAACGCATCAAGGATCTCGAAGTCATGCTCTCAGACCAGAAACAAAAGAATGACTCCCTTAGCCAGGCCTACTCCGCCCTCCATGCCGAGTTCCTCAAGATTCGGGGAGCGCACGCGAGGGCGGCGCAACACCAGCAACAACAGCAACATCAACACATGCCGCGACACCCAGCCGCGCCGGCAATGGCTTACGATCCGACGGGCGCCGCCCACATGGGCATGTCGTCACACCCCGGCGCAATGGAATTCGCGGACAACATGTTCATGTTTCAGGATATGCAGACTTACACCCTCTAAAGAGTGGGAAAAGCTGCCTTGAGAGAGAGGGGTCGGATAATGGTTAATCAAGCGAGCGGCAAGGGAAACGCAAAAAAAAAATGGCCGCGACAATATCCCACTCGTTTTCGAGAAAAGAACTGAAGATCGGATGCTCAAGATATGGACGCGCAATCGAATGACACGACTGTCAAAAACGTATGGATGGAATATGGCCGACTGGCTTGACGAATTTGGAGGTTCGCCTGATTTATTTCTCACACTCTCTGCTCATCACCTTTCCTTTTCTGGTTTCTTGTTACTTGCTTCGGGTCCCGGCGTGCTTGAGATTTCTGGCTCTATTATTAGATGGCAAACATGGGCTGGCAGGCATCGGACTTCATATTGTTTTGTTTCTTGTTACTTGGCGTTTCTTGGGAATATCGGAGTCTGGTACATAGTTCTCTTGATGATGATATGATGATGGGAGGCCATTCCGAGAGGAAAATCTTTCCCCGCATTCGTATGTCACGATGCGCAAATTAGTCATTTTACACACTCGTTCAAAGAGGGGGGGAAGAAGGCTCGGATGGGGAGGGAATGGGAAAGGAAACTTTAGGGAAGTTTAGTCGAAAGCAGAATATGAAATGACACGTGAGATTCCCATCCTTTCAAGACTGCGCATTTTCCAAATCTCCTTTTCGTGGGATTCTCAGAGTTTGGGACTAGTACAGGCAACCCCGCAACTCAATGACGATAAAATCGTACAAGAGTCCCCGGTCTATTGAGTTTCCTCGGTCAGAGACCTTGTTTTTCCCCTCTTAATTATTTCTCCTCGGTCTGCATGGCCGAAAGAGGCGGGGGGCAGAGAGGACCACGGGCGTGGGTTCGGTCTCTATCTGGGTCTTGATAACCTTGTTCAGCTGGGAGATGGGGGTTTGCGTTTAAAAATATCACCATGCTAAGGCGCAGCGGAGAGGGAGGGTGGGTTGTAGATCATTGTCTCAATGCAGTATGAGCGAGGTTCTTGATGGGATACTTACATGTAGTTCTGGAATGGGTTGGATGGATGGCAGATGTTTTTCCCTTTCCTGAGTTCGAGTTGTTGGAGGAGGGCAAGGTGTGTGGTATGCGTGGCTTTGCCGAAATTCTCGTGGGAATAACCCAGCTCCGGGCGGAGGTATGAACCTCTCAAGCTTTTGGGGGCTTCTGCAATTGGCTCAATGGGATAAAATCCGTCAACCGTTGGGCAAGAACGGCCGGCAACGAGAAAAAAAAGGTAAAATTAAAGAAAGAAAAGGCTTGTTGGACCCCATTCCAGTCTAGCCTATACCTTCACCTTACCGGCAGTGCAAGCCGTTTGTTTGCATATACACCTTGCCTTCAGCCCTGTTAAACCCGTGCGTGGATGGAGGGAGGAGATCTTTCAAAGCGGGATGTTACTCATCCACCGACTCACGTCAGCACCCTGTTCGACGACAACGACATTTTTAGCCTCGTTCCTTTTTGGGGTCCAAAGATGTTGCGAGCAAGCAAGCAAGATGACTGGCTCCCGGCGCCGGTTTCGTTGCCTTGCCCTCCTAGTTGATTCTATTTCTCTCATGATGTTAAGCTTTGCAGACCATCTCAGTTTGAGACGTTCGTACATGTAACCTGGAGATATCTAAGCCTCCCTGTTTATGCGTAAAACGTGAAGCTTTTCTTGAAGAACTAGATGCTTGAAGCACTTCAAAAGCGCGCTTGCGTTGAAACGTGTGGCTGTGAAGGGAACGCGACTAGGCCGTTGGTCCTTCTCCTTGGTTATTCTTGGTATTTGCGTGGAGCGCCGCAAACTCGTGGTTGTTCAGCTCGTGGCAAATTGTTTGAGATGATCCGAGATAGCTTGAAGACCCCGAAATTTTGGGTTTTCCGTTTCTTTCGGCAGTGTATGGCTTACGTTGACATCTTACATGAACACTCATCAATCTTAGAGAGTGGCGTTGTAATGGCCGTGCTTGGTCTTAGTATGGGATGAATGGTGGTTCTGCCTCTTCGCTGCCCTTGTCGCAGGGATATAGATTCGCGTTGTTGGGCATGAAGGTGTCGATGTTCGGAAGCTGCCGACACGTTGTTAAATTGTGTCAGACTCCAAACTCAGTACAATTCGGATAGCGTTTGATAGGTAATCAATCTCTTGATTCCATCACCAACTTGACTTGTACGCTACATCTGCATCAAAGGTAATCCGGCTGCCTACTCCGACGTCAGTGGCGGAAGAGATTTCGGATTGCTGCATGTATATCCAAATGTTTGAGTACCCATGAATTCACTCGCATGTAGTAGGTCGGATGAGTAATTCGGAGCTCGGGATGCCATGTTGCTTCTTACTGGCCTTCAGCTATCTCGGTTTCTCGGGAACTCCGAAGGTGATTTGACGACCCTTTGTCACGCTGACATCCACATTGCTGGGGTCGAAAGATTTCCCAACCAGTCATCGTAAAGACAACAGCTAATTTAGACTAGACGTCATGTTGTCAGTAAACTGCGAAGACTAAGGGAATCAATACTGGACTGGAATCGCATGTCAATATCAACTGATTCGGATATAGATCAAGCCTGGCAACTTTGCCTTGCAGTGAAATGCTCGGGTTCAATGATACTGGATCAGACATCATTTCATCATCGCCATCAACGGCATCAAAATCTCTCACTCCCTATACCCGGCTTAGCATTCATACTCTTTTATCATAAGTTATCTTCAAGACGATGTGATGGATCTCAGGCGACATAACAGCTGGAAACAGTGTCTGAGCACCTCGTCTCATGAATACTTCGGTGACTTTGACGAAATAGTGAACAACGCGGAAGGAAAGTCTGATTAATGGTATGGGAAGATTGCGAGTTCTGATTATACCATACAAGGCCGCTGATCAATGTGATAGCATCTTACATCATGTCACCAGAGTATACATATTGGCCAGTTGAATCAGTAGTATTTCAAGACTTCGAGCTCACATCTAAATGATTTCCTGTCTCATCCGATAGAACGGCGGAAAGAGACACTAGCATCGGTGTGCAACTGATGGCTAACGAAGGTTCCTTATAAAGACTTGTGCTAAGCTCAAGCTCACAATTCAATAGCTATCGTCTGCTAGTCAAAGGGCATTTCGCTCTGCCATTAAAAAAACATGGCCATGTGCTCCAACCGGCACAGGCCTTTTTGCGCTTGAAGTGTGTTGTTGCCCCTTAGTGGACATAAGTGCAAGAAACCGCATTGATTTGAAGGCAGGAATCATACACCATTGAAATTGATGTTTTCTGCGGGCATTCTAGGCAGGAGAAGAGTCCGCGTCTCAGCGCAGATCCATGGAACCAAACAAGCAAGGTTCTCCGAAGTCCTGGATGAGAGATATCTGAGATACTACAAACCTACGAGCAGAAATATCTCTTCCATTGATATCAGTGAATCCTTATTTGCCTGATATCAACAGTGTGATGTATCCAAGCTCAGCTCGGTCAAAGGAGGAGGTGAGTCTCATCAAGTCATTCTCGAGGGCCTACTAGTTAATGATCATCTATCGACCCACTGCCGAGTCAACTCTACTGCGTAGGCAGGAACACCAACAGACCCAATTGCTAACGTAAGTTATAGACTAGGAGAACGACGAGCGCGAAAGGCTTCAAGGGGTGAAAAACATATTAGTACAAGTTGCGAGTGTCTTGTCCGGCTTCGCCTCGGCTGATCTAGGTGTACACTAAGCAATTCATCAAGGCAAGTCACGGGCAGTGATGACAGAGTGTCCCGAGACCGAGGGTAAGAGGCAACGTGTCTCCAAGGTTTGGAAAGCAAAGTCTGGTTAGTTGAGTCCTATGTGACGCGAAAGTCATCGTTCCAAAACCGATTCGATCCTGTGGACAACAGCCTTTTGCGTAAGTGACGCCTCTCGGACTGGATGCAACGCAATAGAGCTAGAAACTTCTACATAACAACATTGCAACGAGCAATTCGTGATAAGGGGAACAATCCTGATTGAATGACGGGTAGGGATTGCGTGAGAATAAGCTCGGGGAAGTAGAGGGTGAGGTCCTGAGTCAATCATTGTAACGTAGAATTCCAGCGAAGCTTTGATGACTCGATCACGACGACGCAGCTCAGCAGATCTTGTTGCTGACCAGAAAAGGGTTGAGACCCCTAGACAAGCTGTCGTGATAACGGACTTGACTCACACAATCTTTGGCAATACCAGGTCGAGACTGTTCGATACGAGGGCAGAAGTGGAACAATCACGGCATGAAGGTCACGGGACCCGTGGAGAAGCTGAGGCATGGCCGCTTGCGTCGAGCTCCATCGATAATGACCGGACCCCGCTATAAAATGAGGCAGTTCGGGATTATGAGCACTCCGAAATCGCCTGCCATTCACACTACCTGCCAATTCAGCCTTCGTGACTCTAGAATCTTGTAAACATATTCCGCAATCGTCAGCATGACCTTAGAATCCACATATGCTGATAGTATTATCTGGCCCGCAGAAGATAGAGCCCCAGATAGATACGACGGTAGATCCGGACCAGATAAAGTCAATAGGGCCGAGAGGTACGTAGTAAAGCCTAGCAAACGGAGCCGGAGATCTTTAGAACTTGGACCCGGCCCCCATTAGCCGGTTATAAACTGACGAATGGGATGACAGCCTTGATGGGAATGCGGCAGGTATTAGATGCGATACACGTCAAGCTTGAAGCGCGCCGTCGAGACAACCAGCCTGCAGGGTAGATCAGAGGAGTGGTGCCAAGTGCACAGACGGCGGGGAACCGATTCGTGCGAGTCAGGGTGCTAACCTGTACAAGCTGTCAACCAGTGGACGGGGCCGAGAGAGAGAGAGAGAGAGAGAGAAAGATGATCTCTCTGCTGCTCGTGAACTCTCCGATTCAAGCGCCGCATCGAAGCTGTGAATCCAATATTCTCTATAGTTGGAAGGTAGTTGAGTCAGAGCAGGCTTCAGCGTGGGATGTATTGCGAGATCGGGGGGAGGCGAAGTTCGGTTCGAGGAATCAAGAGAGCTCTACTGCGTAGAAAGCTCTCCGCCTGAGCCGGGTGGGGGCCATTGGTCAATTGACTCGGACCTGACGAGCTTGGCCGGTCCAGGGGTTTCGGGGACCGAGATTGAAACGCGGAATTCCAGGTCATACGGCCAATTCCCCGCGAAATGCAGCGGCATCTTAGACTTGTTGGGACGGGATTCCTTGGGGTCCAAGGTCCGGAATCGAGGTTGTGGCAGCTGACGATGAAGAGGACCCATTGGAAATCCCCATCAAGCTGGAAGCTGAGCAGTTTCTCGCGGAGCTTCAAGAGGTCTCCGTGAGGCAGTACCTATGCGTTAGGTAAAACCAACGGGTAGAAAGGAGGCGTGGGGCCTGGGAAGTGGAAAACGGAAGGCAGAGGGCAGCCACCGAGCATGAGCATGATCATGTGCCCCATTGATGCAGCTTGCCGCGATGGAGTCGTTGCAAGGCGCCATGCTCAGGCCAGAATAGCGAAGCTGGCACATTGGTCCAAACGAAGCACGAAAGAAGCTGCCTCAGCCACACGTGCCGGCCTGGGCCCCGACCTCGGAACCAAGCAGCAGAATGGCACAAACGAGGCCCTTGCGGCGTTGCCTTGCAGGAATGTATGTAAACAAACGAAGAAGAATCGGTTGAGCAAACGACGACGGCAACGACGACGACTGACTGAGAGACAAAAAAGGAAGCAGCCGGGGTGAGACGACACTGACGATGGGCAGTTTTGGATCAGTTGCGGCCCCGAAATGGCTCGATGGCAGGGGTTCGTAGGTACTGGTCTCGTGCTGCTCCGGTACTTGGCTGGGCGCTGCGACACAGTGGCTTGGACGATGTACCGGGTTAGCGGCGGTTGGTACTGAGGTATCCACTACCCCGCAATCTGGCCATCCGTCCCAGCTGCACGCTCGTACCTGAGACCCCGGATCCGAGTGGGCCCCCTTTGCGTCACTGTGCTCCCGTGGTCAATCAGTCATGACTGGGAATCTGTCAGAAGAAGGAGCCAGTGTTCTTTGAGGAAGGAACAATTGGAAACAGCTCTCATAGAAGGAAGGAAGTCAATGTTGGACGGTCCAAGGTAGTAAGCCTGCCTGTTAGCAAGGACCCCAAACGACTTGGATGAGAGGGAGGGATAGTAGGTAGGTAGAGCAAAGGAAAGGTGAAGCGTGGAGCTATGTGGTGTTGGGGACCAGCCGGCCAGCAAAGACAACAGATTCCCTACCGGTAGTCTCCAATGCCTCAATGCCGCGAATACGTACAATAAAAAGGTGGCATAATGAAGGTTTGGTCTGGCGTCAGTCCACGTCCATCTCCACTCCCGGCCACTCCCAGTCCATGCCGGCCGGTCCCCCCGTAAGGTAGTCCACCTCAGTGTCCCAGTGGCACCCCGTCCCCCTTGGGTGTGCGGCGTGCCTTTCCTCGTCCAGCTCCTGCCGTCCTGATGTGCTTCCCTTGCAGCAGCAGCCCCTCCGTCCGTTGCATCAAGTCACGCGATCCAACTTTCCCAAAGGAACCCCCAGCCGTTCCGGACCTGCTCGACACTTCCCCCCTTGGAATTGTCGCCCCATTGGGCAAGCTATCTGATGATCGCGTGATGTGATAGGCTGCCATTCCTCTCGAGCCTTCGTCCTTTAAAAGCATCTTGAGTAGCTCTCCTCATCTACATATCTTCCCCTCCTCCCCTCCATCATCCTCACATCACAACAACTCATCAAGCTATTCCTTAAACCATCGAATCAACTCATCAACCACGATCAACTCTGACCAACCCCAACCACCGAACAACCTCTCCAATCTCGACTCGCTCTTCTTGAACCCTCTCAAGCACTTTGCACACTTACAACCACCCTTGAACAACGCCAATCCCATCAAGAGTAAGTAGCCCGTTCCCCTCCCAATACTGTGAAGCCCACCTGCCCCGCATCACCATTCCTTCCGTGATGCTCTTACCCATCATTACCGGCTTGTACGCTGGTCCATTGTCGACTTGAACATCAACCCTGTTGATGGTCAATGTCCGCTTCCTGGGTCTTGCTGTCTTCGTCCCAATTCTTGAATTCATGGTACCTGGCATCATCTTTGACTAACACACCCTTCTCAGTGACTCGATCTCACAAGTACAACGACCGTGACCACGCCGGCCTGGCTGACGGTACTGCCTCTCCCCAAGAGCACTTGCCTCGCTACTTTGCGAAGCACGGCCATGAGGGCGTCGATCCCAAGAAGGTGAAGAAGAACGGTGGTGGCAGAAGCAATTGGTAAGTTTGGACCCCCTCTACCCCACTTACACACGCCCTTCTTGGCAACTTCAAAGCACCAACGTTTCCTGCCAACGCACGTCGACTTGACCGGATAGATCCAATTGCTGACTTTCATGTCTCACAGGGGCAATGCTGGCGAGGAAGTCATTGACGAGGACTTCCGTTTCACTAACGCTCGCCGTCGCACCAACAGCAGTGGCTTCGCCGATAACATCGGTGCCTTCAAGACCAAATTCGACGTCAACGAGCCTGAGCCCGTCTTTGAGGAGTCCATACACGGCCCCTCCGAGGAGGACGGCGAGGACCTCACCAAGACCGAGTCCTCCGAAAGTGGTCGCTCTTCCACCTACGATGATGAGAAGGTCACCAAGCACTAATTATACGACCGTGATGTCTCTTACTCGGGTGCAATTACTCTCATAACCGCTATCCGGCACGGCAGTCAATGTTTACTTAACAGCTTTTCTTGTTCGTCCTACGAACTATGTTAACGACGAACACTACAACACAAACAAACATCACATCACATCATGCAATGGGAGGACATTTTTTTTGATTTGCTTCAGTTATCTCTCTTTCGAAATGGATTCGGCGAGATATGGCTTTGTATTTCGAGGAACAGAACGGAGATCTAGGGGGATCTCCGCTCGAAAGATTGACTGCCTCGGTGGCGGATGACAGTATGCATCACGAACTTGTTATGACCTGGCGACAACAGTGTCGCCCTTGTATTATCACAAATCAAACGGCCAATGATCTAAGTAATGGATCCATGCCTTGTACCAAACTCCGTCGCACTCTTTGCTCGTGATGCATCGCGTGAATGGCCACTACCGCTTACTCGATCTGAAAGGCTAGGCGATATCATCGCTCTATGAACCTTCCACGCGTATGTTGACTAACAGTCTTCTAGCTCTCAGATATGCAGCGTATACTCTCCGAACCGCTCACAGAAACGTGAGGGGCATTCCCATCATGGCTGTGGAGAGGTAGACGCGGATCAAGGACGTGTCCCAAACCTACAGCAATCCCTTGCCCACCTTACATGTATGTTAGACAAAGAGCCTCCAGCTCACGGACAGAAACCGCGAATCAACACGCATTCAGGAGCTAATGCTCTATAGGTTCTCAGCAAGGACGGCAGTCGAACGTAAATCTTTCTGAGGTATCTAGCAACTTTGGACCAGTCCGAGCTGCTGGGCAGTGACGCTTTCCTGGCACAGAACATGACTACCAGCCTAGACAAGGTATCACCACGCCGTCACTTCCCCAGAACATATATCTGCCAGAATGATTTCAATTCAGCCTAATGTGAGCAATCAATAGTGAGCAAGCAAACTTGCAGACCGCTTCTAATCATAAGCACTATCAGGATGCAAATGTCCTCGCCGTGTCTACCTTGCCTTATGTCCCCCTCAATCCGCGGGCCGCGTCTTCTGAGTTCCTCGTCCTAACCCCTCATCGCCAGCTGAGCAACCCCTTTACACCACCAACACCATGACGAAACAGAACTGCAACCCCCGCTTTTGAGCCACTCTCGGAAACTACGAACCTCTCACCACTCAACTCCAAGCACACACAGCCGCTCGACAAACGGGGACTAGCCGAATGTCAAAGTAAAACGGGCGTACAGCATTTGCTCCTCCAAGATTCGGAGTCCACTGGCATCCTTCAAGGTAAGCTCTTTCCATGAATCTATGGGACGAGGGGAAGAAGGAAGTGGAAGTGACTTCACCTCGCCCGCTGCCTCCGGCTCCGCGTTCGCCGTGTCGCTTGACTCGATGGTGGGGAAGAAGAGCTCACTCCAAGCCTGGTCACTCCAGACAAGCTTCCCTTGTGCAGCGTAGCCTGTTTCGTCTGCCAGGATACCCATGATTCGGGGATTGAGAACGAGGGGCCTTTCCTGCAAGCAGTTATTGCATGTCGCAGACGTTTGGTTTGCATATAGGGGAACTCCACAACTAAAGCAGGTAGATCCGTCAGCTATGGTGCTCTTCTCCATTGCTGCGAGCAGACTTGACTCAGAGAGGAAGGACTCATCCTCACCACTCTATGCAGCAAAGCATCTTTCTGCGACTAAGACCCAGCAGGTCTATACCGAGTATGGTGAGGTTCAACTTCCCGGTGAAGTCACTAGCCGGGTCAGCGCGAGCGAAGTCGTCCACTTCGGCCATGGTGAAGAGCGCCTGAACTGGTCCATGAACAGCTCCTTCTGCATTCCATATATCTCTGGGAAATTGCATATACACACTCTCCTTCTTGACTCTCTTCACCACCCACTGTCGAAGCCACTTGGCGTCCTGGAAGTCCGGGTCGACATCAATCAAGGTATTGCGGCCAAGACCGATGCTGGCGTTCGTCGGTGCTGACTTGTTGTCCCGTGGGGCTACAAATTTCGGACTCGTGAAGAGTAGCATTGTCTCGTTAGGCTTCCAGAATCTGGCAGAGTTGGCCTTGTCTTCCCAGAGAGTCAACACGCAACGGGCGGTATCGTCCCAGACCGTGATCTCGAGAAGTTCCAGCTCTCTCGAGCGGTCTTTCGTCACAACACGTTTCCGAGATCCAATACTTTTGACGCAGACAATAATTCGAGCCCCTGCAGTGTCATGCCCCGTCTTGAGGTATTGACAAAGAGTCATCAAGCCTGGAAGTGGCTTGGGGTCCTGTTTGCCTTGGTCGCATTCCAAAGGCGTTCTGTAGAGTTGTTGGTTTTCGACAGTGTCCGGGAGAAACTGAATGAACTGCCTAGTGCCAACGTCCACCGGATTGATAGGCGTGTACGTGGTCACATATGGCATGCTGGCGTGGTGTGAACCTCCTGTGCTTCCTACCCAAGTCGCCCATATGGTGACGAGCTGTCCAATTACCAGAAGTGATGCTGGAATCCCGATTGGGATGACCTTGACCTATGTAAAGGAATCAGCCCGGTCCTGCTCAAGGGTAGTTCACGAGAGGGAAGGAGGTGTTAAATACTGCTATTGCACCGGTTCCATCAACGACAATTAGCTGATGTGCCGGGCGGCTGTAGTTGTTCTTAGAGTCGAGGAGAGCCGGTGTGTAATTGACGACGCGGCCAGTGAAGCATATGCGATTTGGGCCCGGCTCAATCTGCCCAATACGCACCTCCAAGTACTCTTCCGACGGGTTCCAAATCCGGTCAAGGGGGTGGTGTCCGGACTCTATTTCTGCTTGGGTAAAGCCGTCGATTCGCGGTGGTCCCGCTCTATCTCTCGAAGCATTGTGAGGCGTTGTCGAAACCTCCCTTGGAAAGAACGTTTGGATGGAGGAAGCCGACATCATACCTATCGCTTCGGGAGGATGGAATACGCATTAGTTATGGAGATGTCTAGGGTGATGATGGTCCATTGAAGAAGACTACCTTGAGTGAAGGAAATTTCTCTCGATGGGATATGGTAGAAGCGCTTCGTACTACCAGGTACTTACCACAGCAGGAGGGTTTCCCAATCCTATCGTTCACAGGAAGGAGCCACTGCCTGGTCTGCGCCTGCCTCCCCCATTCTAAGATCTGGAAAGCGGAAAGATGTCATCAACGTTCTTGCCGTGGGTCTGTATCTCAAAACGTAAATGGAATTGACACCTTAAATTCTCGGATACCAGGTCGTAGTATTATCAAGCTCGCATTTCGGTATTAAGATCAAAGACGTCAGATCCAGAAAGAAACCCGGACATGCGTAGCTTCCAAGTAATGGCATGTGGAGAGGGTCAACAGTACCATCCAAATGCCCGGATATTTCGTATTGGGGTGAGTGGAAGCAACCTGCTGCGGGCAACCCGGGCTTCTACAGACCGAATGCCCGTGAGGGCTGTTTGTGATTGAATGAGTGGCTATTGTGGCATCGTCACCTACGAACAAAGCAGTGGGGGAAGTAAGCTGTTTGCATCACCACAAACAACGCCCAGCCAAATCAAGAGTGGTCAGAGCGGCCACGATATTTCAAATATTTATTGATCTCTACCGCACCTCGGGGATGTAGGGTTTACTATCTCACATCTCGGCATTTAAATCCAAAACCGTCGCATGGCAGTCTCTTCATCCACTGAATATCATTTTGTCATAGGCGTTTTTCTCTTTGTTTTCCTTTCCTATTGGTTTCGATATGATACATATATAATTGGGTATCAAAACATAAAAAAGGAGTAATCCCGACTAAATCCTAACGCCTGCGCATTGTTTCTATCCGAAAAAGGACAAAAGAAAGAATATGTAATAATCTGGCGTCGCTTATTGGAGTGCCGCTAGTCATCGATTACAGCCGTCTAGATCCTATGCTTTTCCGGGTACCGTTCCATGTTCAAAGACCGATGCTGGGGTTTATGCTTAGTGCTCGGAGGAACCAGATTGTTTCCGTCCAGGCGCGCCGTAGTCCGAGACAGCGCTGGAAGTGTGCGAGATCGACGTTGATCGGTGGCTTTGTGTAAGGCTATTCTTGGCACCCCCAGACTCCAGATCTTGCATTCCGTAGACACTCGACGCGTCATGTGTCTCCAGCGCAAACTGCTTGGTGCAAACGATGCCTTTGTCGCCTCGCAGGGCTGATTGCAGCTCCGTGGTCGAGGAGTCGCCGAGAGGGCGAGACATGCGGTTCGTGCTTCGGCTCCCGTCCGCGGCGCTCGAGGGTGAATCCGCATACTTTTGTGTGTCGTAGCGCTTGGTAAGCATTCCGAAGAGCTTGGGAAAGGCCTTGATGAGAATGAGACGGATGGCTGGGAGACAGCAGCAGATAATGCCGGTAGGAACCTCGAGGCATGTCCAGAATGCGATGTCGAATTGATCCCACGTCGGGTTCAACGAGTTTGCGAATCGGACAAGTGACTGAAGTCTCAGGATACTAACGATGGTGACGCTTGGCGATGTTAGCACAGCGTCTACAGGACCGGTCATAGATTCGTGTTGGAACTTACAAAGTACCGACACAGAACATGAGTGTGACGGCTAGCTTCTTCCACCAGTGCAGATTGAGAGTTCGGATCCGCGACAAAGGAAGATACAGCATCCACAGGTCCAGAAGGATACTGATGATGGCGTTCGCCCACGGAACTGCATTGATGTTGATGCAAGTACCCTGCTGCTCGCCATCCCATCTCGTCCAGTAGTAGTGGATAGGCGTACATTGGAAAATACCAACCATGAGAAAGACAAAGGTGTTAACGGCATTGAAGGCGGCTGTGCCCCAAAGGAGCTTTCCGAGCCCGGCTCGGTCGAAGATGCGCATGTAAAAGCATAGAATCGCCATCTTAACAATACCCATCTGTACGAAGTACATTGGCTCTAAGATGTAGAACCAATAACCGAAACTTTCAATTTGATGTGGTGTGAGGGTCCAAATGTCTTTACCGAGCCCGGCAGGGAGAATTCCAACGAGATTGATGATAAACGATGGAAGGACAGCCAGGTAGGCAAGAAATGTGAACAAGTCATCGAGCCCGAGCTGTGCCGACGAGAAATACTTGTAAATCAAGCGGGCTCCAACGACAAAGGTGGTGAGTCCCAGCAGGACCCATGTTAGTCGGACATATTCCGCGCTGTGATCTCGGATAGGTTTATCGCATGTGGTCTCGAACACAGCTTTGGCATCTTCGCGCTGTTAGTATCTGCCACTGAGATTCAGGCTGAAGGGTATGACTGACGAAGTGTGTCCTTGATACTACATGCCCCAACTATACATGTCTCGGTATCTGACTCGAATTTCGAATCGTTGCAGATACAAGTCGTGTTCGTTAAACCGCACGGTGAGTCCTTGACAGCGGATAGAATACAGGTAACCTAGAGCAAAGTTAGATGATGCCGGCCCGAAACCTAGAGACGAGAAACCCCTACCGCGCATGTGGGAAGCTGGGCTACAGCATCTGTGATGCTGTTGACTTTCTGAGCTGCGGCCGTAACAGCTAGTAGCGCAGCTATCAACAAGGCAAAAGACAGTGGAAACCTCATGATGTCCGAAGTGAGACCGTTTTGTCGACAAATAAAGTTCGGAAAAAACCTTCCCAAAACCCTGGACCGTATCAATGGGGACAACTGCTTCTTAAAGAAGGAGCATTGGTACCACAAGGCCGTTGTTCACGTTTTTTTTTCTTCTTCTCTACAGAAGCCACCGTCCACAACAAACAACAAAACACGAAAGGGGCACCCAGAGATGGCTTTGCCAGCGACATTAAGGGTAGGCAACTTCATCCTTCGTAGGTCCCGAGTTGTACTCCTTTCAACAACATGATGTGCCGCATGCGATAGTTCAGCCAGAAGCGCGCCACACTAAGCCAAGGAGGCGGCCGCCTTTTAGCCCCCTCACGTGGTGGAGACTCGATGAGAAGATGACGATCCAGGCTGGAATCGCGAACAGAGCGTACCCGGACCACTGCTTCCGGCAAGGCCGGTGACAGCCACCTTTCCATAGTCCGACGAGGGCGAGGCACGGATGGAACACCAAGGTCAAATAGCTCGAGGTAGTGGACCACTGACGGGCGAACGACGTCTCGCGACTGTCGCCTCTTGGGTTGCTCCAGGCCCCCGGGTTACATTCCGGATTCCATCCGCCATATCCGTCCTGCACGACTTGCGGGCGACGGAATGGGAAAGCGCTTCATCAATGACGAACGAAGAGCGAACAGAGACCTAGCGTAGAGACGATGACTTCTGGGTGGATCAAATCTGGGACGCGGGTGCATATCTAGCTAAATAGTTCGTGCCGTTCTTCTTCAACATGCCGATGGGAGAGATTGAATAGTTCTCGATTGGTGGAAATGCGTTGCGATGGACTCCCTGGAAGACGTTCATTCCGAGAAAAACGAGATTGTGAGAGCCACTCTACACCTTCTTCCACGTGGAAGTCGTCTAGAAGGAATGAAGGCGTACTGAACACTTCCATTCCGTTATCGTCGACGCCTCATTGATGTTGACATGTTTCTCGGATAAAAGTGAGGCTTGCCTCTGTCAAAGAAATCAACTCGTCTCATCAGGCAAGTGCAGAAGTTAGCACCATGCGTCAGCCTTTCAGTAAGCCCACCTGGAGAGTGCTGTTGGAGAAAATCAGAAAGAAGAAAGGTCCGAGGTGGGGCAAGGCAAGAAGCCATCGACAACTAACGCCATGCCTGCACGTCAGGTCCCCCGTCGTCCCATCATGCATCTGCCAAGGTAATCGTTGTCTTGCGTGCTTGCCTGTCATACACCAGAAAGTCGGGACGGATTGCGTAGAGCGAGTCCAGCCCAGGCACTCGGGGCAGCAATTGGTGGGTGGGGTACCCTGGAGCCAGGGGACCTTTCCAGCCCGCTAGCGCTGTAGCGTCGCTAATTGACTGCTGAAGAAGGCTGATTTGTCTGCTCTGACAATCTGGCTGCTCAAGCGTTGTGTTTGTGTGAGTGGACCCTCGCAAGCTTCGCAAGCTTCGCACCCCGGACCAATGATCGACGGCGGGGTGGTCTGTGCACCCATTTCCACGAAGCCAAATGTACGCACGGGCCTGCCTTCCTTGTAGCCGACTTTATCTTCTTATCGGGCAGCTAAGGTAAGGCAAGGTACCTATCCAATGCGCGTGCGTCAGTGCGTCAGTGCATCCCAAGGTTCCAAATTTCTGAACAACGATCGCGGCAGCCTCGCGCCCGTTTAACATCGGCAAAGACACCTACGGACACCACTACCACCCATACCATCAACCCCTCAGAACCCCTCCACCGGGAATACGGTCCGTTTGACAGAAACCGAATTCTTTATTCCAATTCCCCCGGTTGCGAAGTCCTTGTCGGGCACACCTGCAAAATGTCTGCGTTGAACGCCTTCCATGAGTCGCTGCCATGTACGTTTGTTATTCCTGCCATTTGCCGCGCATACTCTCCGACTAACGAACAACGCCCGCAGATATTGATGACGAGCCCACACCGGCAGAGCGCGAAGCTGCCGAGTCCCTGATCCGATCTGAATTATCCACCTTTACCCCGGCGCCTGCGCCAAACTACAAAGAACCGTCCTTCTCCTCCCTCGTCGAACTGGAGCTGGAGCGTGTCGCCTCCAAACAGCCTCTCAAAGCTATTGATCTCGAGCGCTATCAAACACAAGAACCTTTCTCCGACTCCGAGGCAAAGTCGACGGAAGAAGACCGTATCCGTCTCGCCGACTCACTCCAGAAGGCCTACATTTCCTACGCCTACCTCGATACCCGTGCCCAAAATCTGTATCTGTTGGATAAATGGGGAAAGAACGCGTGGTTGATTGGCAATTGGGGACTCGAGAATGAACTGAAAGGTTTAGAGCGTGATCTCGCTGAAACGAAGCGCCTCATTGATGTTTTGACTGTCGCCCGGAGACGCCAACAGGAAGAAGTAGCAGCAGAGGTGAAGGGGCTGGAGGAGAACTGGAAGAAGGGTGTTGGAAGGACACTAGAAACCGAGATTGCAGTCGAGCAATTGAGACGAGAGGTTCTAGAAGAAATGAGGGTAAGGGGCGGCTGAGACGCATCGTACCGCGCAGACGTAGCACTTGACGAGTGCCGCACTTTACTGTAACTGTACCAATCACAAGAACCAATTAATGATACCACATGGAACGTTATCTTCACAAATTTCAAATCTGCTTGCGTCGTGGAAGAAATGTAATCTTTACTAACAGGTATCTGGACGTCACTAGCCGTGTCTCTTAGGAAGCGAAGGTAGGGGGTTCCGCCTAACGCCGTCGTGAATCTTGACATTCACCCTCTTCAACCTTCCCAAAGTCTGCCATCCAAACTTGGATCATACGCAAAATCAAATATCCTCAGGTTCCTCTCAGGCCGCTTGAAGCGGATCCATCTCCTCAACGCCGGTCTTGACTTCCTCGTATTTTGTCCGTCTCATGATGCCTTCAACGGGACCAAGGAGTCTCTGGAAGGCGTTCTTGCCGAGACTCGCAACCTTGACATCCGACGTCGCGACAATGCTAGCGGCGCGAGGAGCATCGTTCAAAAGCGCCAGCTCACCAAAGAAATCTCCCTTGCTGTAGTGCTTGACAGATTCCTTAACGCCAGCCTTGTAGGCATCGGCCTCGCCGCTCTCCAGAAGGAAGAATGCGTGACCTGGGTCTCCCTCCTTGATAATGGTCTCTCCAGGAGCGTACTTCTGGGTCTCCAGTGCGTCGGCAATCTTGGATCGCTCGTAAGGTGTGAGGCTTTGCAACAAGGGGACCTCTTCGAGGAAACTCTCGTACATCCGTCGCCGAGCGAATGTCGACTCCATGAGAATACGGCGGAACGTTAGGCGATCAAGCGCCCAGAGAGTGCATCCAGATTCGGCAGAAATGACAGTTGCAGCCCGGGGAGCGTTGTACATCAAGGCCAGTTCACCAAAAGAGCCCCCTGCCTGGATGGTTCCGACTTTCTGGCCCATACCTTCGGGGCCAGGCTGCAAGTTCCCGCTACTGTTGACATATACATCAAACGACCCCTTCTCTACCACGTAGAAGAAGTCTCCCGCGTCACCTTGGCTAATAACCTGTCGCGAAGTGTTAGGAAGCCCTTCAACATCACCCATTGACTCAACTTACCTTGATATCCTTAGCGGGAATGGGCTTTTCATTCAGTGCACCCAGAATTTGGCCACTCTGTTCTTCATCCAAGTGGGAGAACAGGAAATTGCCCTCAATGGCAGTTTGTAAACGTTCCAACTGCTCTTTGGTCTTCTCGTGATAAGGGGGCGACCAGTTGTCGTATGTATCAGCACTAGGCTTGAGAGACTCAGCAGAGACCGAGGTTCGGCGGCCGAAATTGTACTGCGCAGGGTAGCTCTCGGGGTTCGGTGGGCTTCTCAGCGCAGAAGGCGGAGCGTCGTCTGCAGCGTCCCCGCCGAATGGGCCGTTGAAAGTCGTACCCATATTCATGCCGAAATTCGGTGATGTCGGAGACGCAACAGTATCGTTCTCTTCCTCTTCGACCACACGGTGGATGGCATTGCCTCCTGCGGGAGGTCCATCGGTAGGTCCTCCAAAAGGATTGGCGTTTGCCCCAAAAGGACTCTTGAACATGCCGGACATGGTTGCAGTGTAGGTACTCGCACAAGGAAAGATGTTTCGTTTCGAGGATATAAACCGTCACGATTCGCCTTTTGGAAGGTGTCCTATCGGCGCAACGTTCAAGGACTTTGACAGTAAGTAGTTGGGCGAAGAGTTGTTTGCAAACTATTTGTGCTCTGATCAGCTTCGGTCCACGACGTCCAGATTGCAGCGTGAGGAATGTTAGAGGGTTGCCAGGTTCTCTCAGGTCATCAGGGTAGGGTGGTGGACAAAAGAATGCTGTAAAATTGGTGGGGTCGTTGAGCAGGGTGCAAGTTGAGGCGCACCCAATGCTTCGTCCCCGCGTTCAGGCTGCACCAATCAAGCTGGCCACCGCTCCCTAGCAACTGCGTTGGATAGAGGCAAGAAGACGAAATGAAGCGGATAGCGTTCAATAGATACCACTGTTGCTTGAAGGACTCTGACGCAGTAGAGTGGCAATGTTCCGAAATGGATACCGGACAAAGCACGAGAGGAGAGACAGGACAAGATGAATACCGTGGAACGCTCAAGATGGAGATCAGAACTCTGATACAGGTGGCAAGAGGGCCAAGAAAAGCAGAAGCTGTTGAAGTGATATGACAAACAAGGGAAAGCGGGTGCTTGATGGGTTTAACCTGGCAATAAACGGACGGGAACTATCACTTACCACCACGGGAGGAGCTAGCTAGTGGGTGATGATGATCTGGGCGGGGAGCTGGCTAGCTTTCGTGATATTGGCCACCGCCTATTCAGGTAGGAGGCTGCTGTCGACAGTATACTGGAGCGAAGGACTGGCAAGACCGGGGAGGGGTTTTGTTGATAGCCAAGACGCGGATGAAGATCCCCGTGATCAACAAGTGGGAGTGGAGGAAGAGAGAGTTGCTAGTTAACTTCGTACGATGAAGCAACTAGGGGTACGGTAAGGTCGAGGTTGTGAATACCGCTAGCTAAGAAATAGGACGGACGAGGGGCGAAGCAAGTGGCCGATTGCTGTTCCTGCTCTCGTGCTGTCGTGCTGTCGTGCGGGTTCGAAATTAGGCCACGAGGACAGCGTTCGCTTGTTCGTTCAAGTCGAGGGAAGCGGGAGGAGGTGACGAGATGAGAGCACGAAATGAAGAATGGCAGAAGTGGAAAAGGCCAAGGGAAGGGAAGCTTTTTGGGTTCGGTTTAGGGACGTGGATTGCTCTGGGATGGGGGGAAGAAGGTGGGGGGGTTGAGAAGCAGGAGGCACGGAGGGCCTTTGACGCATCGCTGCTTCCAGTCAAACAACAGCAGCAAAGAAGCAGGTGCTCCCCTCCTTCCTCCTTCCATTGCTCCTCAATGCCCCATCTCCTTCCACAAGGTGACGGTAAGGTCCTAGCTTTTGAGGGGCCCTGTTGCCCCGGTTGGCCAGTCATGACCGTCGAAGAGTTCTAGAAGGCGCACAGATCAGCTTGAGGCCGGCTCCCGCTGGCCTTCCCTGCAGCCCGAAGTGTCCGGGCTTCACCTTCCAAGCCGCTTCGGTTGCGATTCTGTGCAGCTCTCAGCAACGCCTCTGACTGGCTCAACTTGCAATAAGCCCAAGCATCCCAGGACAGCTTACCTGCTTTCAATCCATTGCCTCCTTGCCTACGGAGTACCTGCCTCAGACGAGATGCAGGCGGTACGTACTCTCGGACTGAGGCATCTTACTCCTTGGATCCCCTGGTTTCGGCCATGTCATCATGGGGACGGCCTCCCGTGGAATTTCAGGGCGCTTTCAGTGGGACTACCCCGTCCGCCCGCAATTGCCCCTCACCAAACCTCTCCTGCCAGTGGCTCCTTCATTCGATAGCCCGCTGATCAAAGCCGGTACAACCCTTTTAGGGGTGCGGGCAAGAGGGGACGATCCCTTTCCCAGCCAAAGTTGCGGGAGCTGCTTGGTCTCAGGATGCACTTTCCAAACGACACCTCGGCCTGCCGCTTTCACCGGGCCGCATTGTCGAGTTCATTTCAGACAGCCAAGTCTCGCCTACATCCGAAGGCTCAATGCTTTACGACAGTCCATGTTTGTTTGCGAAGAAATCGTTTCAAGTGCTGGCCTGTTAGATGTGATATAAGACAGATACAACTGGTGATGTCGAGCGACTTATTCTGGAAAGACCTGAGACTGGGCTGAAGCATCTTTCATGGTTTGGTGAGAATGTATGTATGTATTACGCTTTCGCCTCTCTCTGCGTTTAGATATGCTTCTAAAAGCCTCATTCCCTTTGGTTTTTGGTAAATGTCGCTTGGTGATGTTCCCGTTCTGACATCTGTATGGCAAACGCTTACTTACAACTTCATCAGAATCTCCTCCACATCTGCATTTTACACCAGCTACCACATCGTACACAAGGGTTTAGAAACATGGTGTTCATGGCATTACTCAAGCAACCGCCGGCGGCCATGTGCTAAGCATGTTCTGTAAGTTCAGAAGACCATAAAAAGTAAAGAACGATCATGCGAGAGCTAGGGAATGTTTTCTCAATGATGGCAAAGCTCTAGATAGGACTGGCGAAAGAAGAAGTGTTTTTTCATGTTCTGCGATTTATCAACTAAGGTAAAGCCAGAATAAGAAGACAACATCGCTGTACGTATAGAAATAAAATCGTAAACGGCAATTTCTATTGGAGCAAAGAGAGAAGACATCTCGAGTGGACTATTTCGGGGTCAATGTTCATAGCTTGTGAATTTTCTCCTCAAACATGAATCCGATATGGTGTAGTGGCCAACATGATGCCCTCTCATCTCCAATGAAAGGTTAGGCATAGCCCCGAGTTCGATTCTCGGTTTCGGAATATTTTGACTCCGGAAGAGATATTTTTGATTGTCTTCAATCATCCGTCTAAAGGTTGAGATGTCTGCAAAATCCTTTTCAATTCACTCCGAAAAAAAAAAAAAAAAAAAGGTCATAAGCTTTTGGCGCTCTGGCTACTTACAATTTTTCCAACGTATAAACTCGTGCCTCAGGTTTGCATTGACACGCCTATGAATACTCCGTAGATAACCGACCACCGAATGTCACTGAGGATTTGGGGTGGAGCCATACCATGGATATTTTTCTACAAATATTCTTACTGTGTAGAACCTTTTGGGAGACGGATTGGGCACTGATAATTTCACTGTACAATGACTGATATCTTGTGATATCATTACATCCTGTTCTTTTCCAAAGCATCTTTGATGCCTATCGTTCCCTCCAACTGTTTGGCTCCTTCAATTGTTCTCGGTCTGCTGAACGGACTATACAGCATCCAAAGGCCCCAGTTAACAACTGAACAGCGGCTGCCCGTGCTCCGTGTTGACGAGGAAGTGGGTTACTCAGCCACGACGCTAGACCCAATATATGCATTGAACGCCAAGCCACAATTACCTACGCTGACTTCCGACTCTCCTGTCTGTCCGGTCAAGCGCATTCTAGTCTGGACTTCCTCGACAGCAACCGATCGCCGACATCACCAACATCAATCGCGCGCGCACCTTCTGAGTGCACAATTGCCCAAGATGCCCGATCCCTCACCTGGCGTCAACCACGCCGACTCCATCGAATCGCAACATGACACTGGGAAAAAGGAAGACAAGAAGAAGAGCCGCCGACCAGCGAGTATGTGGAAGCCCCGGAACATAGCCAACCTCCCTTCGGCGATCGCGGAAGCGCTGGGAAGCGATGGAAATGAAGATTATGGCACTGATATATGCTCCTGAATAGACACGGCATTCAGACAACAACGTTTGAAGGCATGGCAGTAAGTTTGGCAACAGCTCTTTAGAGACGAACCGTCGCAAGGGAATCTCGGTAGCTGACTATTACAGACCAATTTTGACGCCCAAGACTGTCTTGCCTCTCTTCTTCACGATCGGAATCATATTTGCCCCGATCGGTGGACTCTTGCTCTACGCAAGTGCGAAGGTAAATATAGCATTAATACACCGAGAGGGCCATTACTAAAATGCGCGCTTCGAAGGTCAAGGAAATCCGCATCGACTACACAAACTGCCTCACCGAAGCGACCTCCACTCTTGGCGAAATGGACTCGAAGTACATCAGCACTGCGTTTAAGAGCGACGACCAGACAAAGAATGCCGAGTGGGCTGTGACAACTGTCGACGTCACCGACGGACCGATTACATACGAGGCGAAGCAATGCAGAATCCAGTTCAGAATTCCTGAGGATATGGGACCGCCTGTGCTGTTCTACTACCACCTCACGAACTTCTACCAGAACCATAGACGTTATGTAGCTTCCTTCTACGACAAGCAGCTTAAGGGAAATGCCGAGTCCGCCAGCAACGTCAACAGCTCTTCCTGTGAGCCTCTTGAGTGGGACTCAGATGCCCTGAAGCCGTACTATCCTTGTGGTAAGTCTTTCCGCAGTCCACTTGCTCATTAGATCACATATTTACAAAGCGGCAGGTCTGATTGCGAACTCCATGTTCAACGACACGTTTACTTCGCCCCGTATGCTCCAAGAGGACTCGATCTACCCGATGAAGAACAACTCGGGTATCGCTTGGGCGTCTGATGCCGACCTTTACGGGGAAACCAAGTACGACCCTGCTGAGGTCATGCCGCCACCAAACTGGAGAGTCCGGTATCCCAACTACACCACTGAGCACCCTCCGCCCAACATCGCCGAGTGGCAGGCCTTCCAGGTTTGGATGAGGACTGCTGGATTGCCCACTTTCAGCAAGCTCTACCAGCGCAACGACGATGAGACGATGAAGGCCGGCACGTACGAGGTTAACATTACTGATAGTGAGTGTCTACCAACTAACGCGAATCACCGTTTCAGGCTAACCCAGACGCAGATTTCCCAACTACTGAGTACAAGGGGAGCAAGTCCATCGTCATCACCACACGAACAATCATGGGTGGCAGAAACCCTTTCCTGGGTATCGCCTACATAGTAGTCGGCGGCATGTGCATCCTTCTGGGTGTGATCTTCACTGTCACTCATCTTATCAAGCCGAGGTAAGAAAGCCATTCCTCTGTCCCAAGCCCCTTTAGAGCCTTGGTACTGACAATCAATGTAGAAAGCTTGGTGACCACACCTACCTCTCCTGGAACAATGCCCCTGGCTCCAAGCCGGGTGCCGGTCCCAGCTCGGCAATGGCTTCAGGTCGCGAAGTACGACCGGGCGAAGCCTAGAAGGCCCGCGATGAGTCGCTGCGCCCTCTTCGTGCGCGTGCAGCATCTGACTCAACCGAACCTTCTGTAACATCGACAAGACTGGCGTACAGTGTTACTGCATCGTCAGTCGGGGGCCAACGTATCGTTTCCCCCCGGTCGCACCTGTGAGGTCGGGCAAGCAGACGCAGCATCGTTTTGGAAGGCTAGCATCGCGGCGTTTTTGTACGGAATGACATGAAATTGTACGAGTAACGGGGACCTCGACTGCAAGAGGAAAACCCCGCCCTTCACAGCATCTCCCGCTGCCGAGGAGAGGACCAGGAAGGGGGACTTTTGTTTATGGCATTCTTTACCGGCTGGTCAGTGACGCGCATCGTTTGTTCTGCTTCCTCTTTTTATGAACTTTTTGGGTTTCTAACCCTGCATGACTTTTTTCCCAAACCCCCCCTAAAGAAAGGAACGAGGGTGAGGTAGGCAACCAGCAGAAACCATAAACGTTCCTTAGCTTACCGAGGGAATCTGGAGTTCGAGGGTCAAGGGTCAGGTAGACCATCAAATTATCTGTTCAAAGCATGATTAAATCAGTTTCCTTCCACACATACATCTACATTGCTCGAAGTAAATCATGCATACAATGAGGGGAAGGAAGTTCCATCACGTCCGTCCGGGAATCGTCATGAATTAATAAGAAAGCTATCTGTCCCGTCACCCTGAAGGCTGCAAGAGGCGGCCCGCGTTCACCAAGGACCTCCCCGTACTCTCGCCCCTAGACGCCTACACAACAAATTTGATAATACAAGTGATACCGAAAAACAATGCACTCATGGAAACGCTTCCGTTTGTACCTACGACCCGCCATTTCTCATCAAATGGTGCTGCCAAAGACTCAAATGCTCAGTGCTTTCTCTTCTTGCGGCCACGGTCGTCATCGTCACCGCCGCCACGTGCGTCCTCTCGATCGCGCTTCTTGGCCTTCGCCTCGAGTTCGTCCCAGTCCTCGCCCTCGTCTTCATCGCTCATCTCGGCGTCTTCCTCCTCGTCAGAGACGTTAGACCCGAAGTCAGAGTCTTCCTCGCTCGATTCGGAGGCCTCATCAAGCTCATCAGACTCTATCTCAAAGTTGCTCTCAGGCTCAGACTCCTCTCCTTCGTCGTCCGACTCTGCCTGCAAGAAGGACCAACCACCGTCAATGAAGAACTGGTGGGTGTCGGCAGTGACCGTTTTCATGATTGTCGGCCAGTTGAGGTTGAGGGGTCCTTCGGAGTACGCAATGTCTGAAGAGTCCAAGAATTCCTTCACATGGTCGAGGAACTCTACTGGAATAGTGTTGACGTGGTAGGGTGCTCTTGTGAAATCTTTGAAGACGAACACAAGATCAAAGTTCTTCAGACCGAATTGCACACGTTCCAAATGTGCCACTTCTATATCATCCAATGTGATAACCATGAAAGGTGGCTCAACTACCTGGATCAAGCACTCCGTGGTAGGCTGGATAAAAACGTTGCTGCGGAATGGCACGCCATGGAAGCCAAGGTCTCTGATAGGAACATCTACCTCGATGTTCTCGTTCTTGCCTGCCTCGGCAATCTTCTGGGCAAAACCTTGGAACAGGCGGTCAAGCTCGGCACGGCGACGACGCTCCTCCTGCTCCTGTTCGAACTCATCCTCATCGCCGTAACGATATTTTCTCTTGCGGTTGCCTGTTTCATCAAACTGGATATCAGTCGCCTCGCGGTAGAACTGCACATCCTTGGTCTTCTTCTTGTTGGCAACCATGATGGGGTCTTTCAAGTGAATGTGGATAATGACGATCAACTCGTGCTGGCAAGGCTGGAAGAATAGGTGGCGGACGTTTGAGAATAGAATATCGACACGTTGCTGCGTGCTAAGCGGCGACTGGTACCGAATACCATTCTGGTGGATTTCCACCTTACCAGGGACTCGCTTTCCTTCCATGGCAGGACGAATGAAGACATTGTCGAGCACAGCAGGACGGCGATCTGTTGAACTTGGTCAGTAGGCTTTTCAGAGTGGTCGAGAAAGAGGCTAGCTTACTTCTTATTTCGACGAGCTTGTCCTGCTCGACAACGTCCTCCAGCTCCTTCTTCTCCTGCTCTTTCTTGTTCACATCCCGCTTCATGTTGGATATCTGCGTAGCGATTTCTTGGTAGCGGTCGCCGTCCGTCGACCGGAATGTCAGACTTCTGACGAAATGAGCCGATGCGTCCTCAAAAGGCTGGTCGTCTTTGCGACCGACACCCTGGCCTGGAGAGAGCAGGTTGACTCTGAGAAACGACCAGTCACCTTCATCACTCTTGCTGGCATTCTTGATCGTGTTGATATGGAATGGTACAGGACGACCCATGACGGGAAGTATCACCGTATCATTTCTCGCATCGACCACAATCTGCAGTTCGCGGACCTTGGGAGGGAACTGGTTGTCACGCTTGTATGAGTCAAAGCGCTTGAACTTCTTCACCTCTTTGCCGTTTTGCCCGCTGGTCGACTCGGAGAAGCGCGCCAGACCCTCCTTCTGCTTCTTCGATGCCAAGTCCTTTTGATGTTCCCGGCGTCTCTTGTCCGCATCGTCATCGACTGTGGTTGTCCGTTCGGATCTCAACCTCGTAGAAGTGATGTTCTTAGTAGCAACAGCACCAACTCGAGAAT